TTGCTCAAGGCCTTCAGTTGAGACAAATCGACATGATTGAAGATGGCATTCCTGGAAGCTCACGTACACTCAGCAGCATGGCCAAAAAACTTTGAGCAATTTGAAAAAAAATAGCTTAAAGCAAAAATTAAGTGCAATTTATGCAAACATACAATGAACCTGACTCATAAAACCAACAAAGCAGACAACTATGTTTGGTAAGTATTATTATTATTATTATTATTATTAATATATATATAATTGTATGACCAGAGCTTGCTTGCTTAAATTATCTTTTTAATAATTCATAATGTTTTTGTCCAGACATAGCTGGACAATGTTAAATGTCTGCTATGGTTTTGGAAAATTTAAACAAATATGACACAGGGTCTTACTCACTAGAATCTTTTATACAATGTTTAAAGGTCCTGTACACGAAACAGACATAAGGGAAGATTCAAGTCAGTGAGGTATGGATCACTTTTTGCCAAGTCAAAGTGTAATTTATTCTCCTGGATGAAGTTCATATATCGGTATGTTTAAAACATAATAATTCAAGCTTTAGCATAATGTTGAAAGCAGTTGAACAGAAATATGAACACTAAATTATTTTCACTTTTGTTAACAAAGGTTTGCTCAAGGCCTTCAGTTGAGACAAATCGACATGATTGAAGATGGCATTCCTGGAAGCTCACGTACACTCAGCAGCATGGCCAAAAAACTTTGAGCAATTTGTAAAGAATCCATGAAGTTGTATGCCAGAAGGAAGGGCCAAATGATAGGACATCCCAGGGAGTTTGTTATGATTGATGAGAGCAACTTCCGTCACAAGCGAAAGGTAATTTAAATATTCCCATAAAATGTAAGCCATTTATTTTAGATTAATAACCTTAGTTATGTTTGTGAATTTGTGTTTTACATTATGTACTTTATGTTGCCAAAATTTGCAATGCAATTTTGCTAAACAAAAAACAAAGAGTGTTGAGTGTTAAGTTCAAATAGTGTTAGATTGATAGGCTGATAAGTGTTAGAATGTATAGAAGGATTGCATTGTTTTGAATGATATATGCCTTGTTTCCACCGAGCGGTACAGTACAGTATGATTCATCATGGTACACCCTGATCTGGCTTGCATTTCCACTGCCAAAAGTAGGCCGACTCTCACTTGATTGGCACGGTGTATGCCTGAAAGAAATGAACAAAATAATTATTGTAAAGTAGAAAACAACACAGAAAATAACAATGGAGGACAAACAGTTTATTATATGACATACAGTATGACATACAGATCTTGTTCTTGCTTCTTGGCTGTTCTTCTGTTTGTCATAAGAAGAAATGGTATTGTGTTTCAACTGTATTTAAAAATGGCTCCTCTTGTGTTGTCATTTCTCTTGTAGCAGGCGCAAGTGATGATTATCTGTCAACAAATCAATGTTCTGCTAACCCCACCCTTTAGTACGGGACTGCTAGGTACCCCAACGAAAGGGTCTCAAAAAAGTGGTACGTTATTACGGTATCATTCACATCTTCTGACAATCGAAACGACAAAAATTGAGTACCGTACTGAACTGTACTGTGCCGTACGGCTCAGTGGAAATGAGGCATTAAATAAATTAAAATAAAATGAAAGCTTTGTATTTTTAAATATTGTATTGTTGTATACTTGTTTTTTCAGTATGGACGTGGAAGGTTCGCAAAGACCTGGCGTAGAAGAAAGTGGGTCTTTGGGATGCTGGGGGTTGCACCAAGAAATAGCAAGCCTATTCTAAAACTCGTTCATCGAAGGTCCCGAAATCACCTTACCCCACATATTGTACGACATGTGCATCCTGGAAGTTCCATACTTAGTGATGAATGGCGTGCTTACAGAGGGGTACTAACCAATCTTGGCTATAACCATTTTCCTGTGAAGCATAATCAGTTTTTTGTAGATCCAATAACAGGCAGCCATACACAAAATCTGGAAAGAGCATGGTTAACTTACAAAGGAAAAATATGGCGTCTTAGAGGAAATAGGACAGACTGGACCTACTAAAACAACATCTTAAGCTGATAGAGTGGACTTACTGGCTTGGAAATCGGCACAAAAATGGTCCTCTTGGAAGACTGTTGAAGGATATTCGTCGAAAATATCAATAAAACACAAACCTGATAACTCCCGAAGCCCATTATTTCTCCAGCCTAACTTGACCATGCTGGCTCACTCCCAGATCATCCTTATTTTTACTCTTTTGAAACACCTCTTCCATAGTCCCATTAATTGATACAAACGGTATATAAATTTCCATATTTATATATTTCTTATTTTGTATATTTTGTAATTTTGCTGCAGATGATTTTTCTTGCTTACTTAATAATTTAAAAAACACTACAGTTGTAAAAATTAATTTCCAATTGTATTTTTATTCATTTGTAATATGTATACATTGTTCATTGATACCATTGTTATGAAATGTAGTAAAGGTTTTGAGAATACAAGTGATGTGTGACTTTCACTCATTTAAGCTTCAGTAAAATCAATAATCACTGTTTTGTAACAAATCTACAAATTTTAGTACATCACCCTTACAATAACGTTAATACATTCCATTAATAAATGCTTTAATAATGTTAATTCATGTTAATAAAGAGTCTACAAATGTTAGTAACACATCAGTTAATGTTGAAATAGTGTACACTCTACAATAAGGTTCATAAATTCCATTTATTAATGGTAATTCATGTTAATAAAGAGTCTACTAATGTTAGTAACACATCAGTTCATGTTGAATAGTGTACACTTTACAATAAGGTTCATAAATTCCATTAATAAATACTTTTTGAATACAAGTAATGATAGTAAAGTCCGTACAAACATGAACAACATATTTGTACGCTGTAGAATTATGTTTAACAAATCAATACCTTATATAAAAGAGTGTTGATAAGGTACACAACAGTATTTTTACATTTAGGGTAACATGGTGAGTTAGAAATGTTCATACTTATCAACTGCTACGTAAACTAATGTAAATATGTAAAGTAAGTTAACCTTACAAAACAGTAAAGCTATTTACAGGCATTGTTCATGGTTAGTTCATGTTAACTAATGCATTCACTAATATTAACTAACTGCTGTTAATGTGAATTGATTCATTAGTATATGTGTGAGTTAATGTTAACAAATATTAATAACTAATGCTGAACAGATATGTTGTTCATGGTTAGTTCATGTTAATTAATGCATTAACTAATGTTAACTAATTGTGATGTTAACGTGAATTGATGCATTAGTAAATGTGTGAGTTAACGTTAACAAATATTAACTAATGCTGAACAGACATGTTGTTCATGGTTAGTTCATGTTAACTAATGCATTAACTAATGTTAACTAATGGAACCTTATTGTAAAGTGTTACCGTTTTTTTTTTATTGTGTTTGATTCTTATTTTGCTGGGTGGTTTGTCTATGGGTGGTTTAGAGGCTCCTTCTGTTCGGGTAGTTTGTGATGAAAGCATCCTTGTGTGTGTGATATACTTTGTGTAAGCCAAAAATAAACCTTGATGATTTTTCTATTTAATGAACCGGAGTCGTGTTTTGTTTAGGTAACGGTGGGTCATGTAACATTCTAGTGTGAAAAATGTACAATTCATCAAACTTTGTTAAATAGATGAGTTGCTTCTCAATCAGGTGCAGAGAGAGATCGAGCAAGGGATGATCCATATTTCATTAAAGTGAGGGAGGTGGAATATTAAATTGACACAGTATGGAAATTGTAATCGTTTTACCCAGCATTTAGTCTTTGTGCTTATAGAATATTTTAATTGCACTACTGTCCTGTACTGTTTGATTAGAAAGATGTGTTGTGTTCTTTTGTGTTACCGATTTGGTGTAAACCCCCCTTCTTCAATCAATGACGTATTCCTCGCGTGTTGCAGACTCTTCAGTTTGCGGGAAGCACTCTGAAGAGAGGTATGTGTCTCCGTTAATGCACAACTCAAACAAGGTCTTAGAACATATTAAATAGAAGTTACAATGAAATAAGAACAAAATATGGTGGTAATACTGTTGGGGACCCTGTTATTTGTTAAATAGATGGTTATTCGTGGTTAATAGCTATACATGAACTGTAAACGTGCGATTTTGTCATGTTTCTATGAACGGTATACCATCTGAACTTGAAGTATCAGTATGAGGACGCTTGTTAATGTTAATCTGAGTTTCACTTAATTCCGTTTTGATGACTCCAGTGCTGCACAGAGTGAAATGCGCGCCAGTAATCGACAGTGCATTTTGGGTAATGTAGTTCAAGACTTTAAGCATGTGTGTTAAGGAGAAGAAACTGAAACGGAATTGTTACTTTGATATTGTAAGTTGCCTGCATATAAAAAATATGTGACAATATACTAACTGAATGATGTATTTTCAGATTGTCAATCCAGAGCAGATGATTGTACTGTCCCATTTTTTGCTTGCAGGTATGATTGTTGTATTCATTTAGTTTCATTGATTTTCCAGAATTTATAAATCTTATTAGTTCTACATAAAAAAATGCCTTTTTATGCACTTTATTACATGGAACAATTTAAGATACTGTAAAGAAAATACATCTTGTAACATGAGTTTGCGGGAAGCACTCTGAAGAGAGATTGTCAATCCAGAACAGATGATTGTAATACTGTCCCATTTTATGCTTGCAGTAAACGCGCAAAAGCAAAACGACATTGCTGGTGTTTCTCTTTATTTGGGGCTGATCCTGTGGTGCGTCTACTGAACCGCTACACAAATACAAAGTTTTAGTTACAATCTAGAAGACAGGCAAACAGGTTGAGCAACACACACTTACACATAACGGTGACCGGACAATGAGTGAGAGCAAAGGCACAACTTAAGTAGCGAACACAAACAAGGTAATTGACTAAACTAGCTAACTATCGTGACCATGGGAACAGATGAGTGGCGCCTAACAGAGACAATGCATGTGACTGGTGAAAACAAACTAAACGTCCATGAACTAAACAGAACACAATGGTAAAACCCAAATGAGCTCTAACAAAAGTTCAAGTAGATATGATGTTTGATCATCGTTTTTTGGGGACATTTTCATACACAGACTCCGTCTTCGATTTCTGAAAGGAAACACAAACTCAGTCAGGAAACTGATGATGCAACTGACAACTTAATCTACAAATACTGATGACTTTGTTTTGAAAAACTACCACTACAGATCAGATGCTAACATGGAGCAGCAAGAGGAAATGACATAAATCATGACTTTTTAAACAGTTAAATCATCAAACAGTTTAACTTCAGAAGGTTTTAATGCAGCTTCTGCTCTGAGAATGATTGTCTTTCACACAAAAGCAACAGCAAAGACACTTCACTAAACCAATGGCTGCTAAAGCTGCATCTCAGCTCAGATAATGATAAACCGCAGAGACGCTGCAGCTCGAGGACACACTTCAGCACAGGTGACATGAGTAACAACTTTATGTCCTACTTTCTCAATTCTAATGTATAAAACCTGCGTTTGTATGGGTTAGTATTTAAAAATAAGAAACTACATAGCCTACAACATGTGATTTTAAACAAAAGATTTTTAGGCCAGAGATCACATGACGAGCAAAAACTGAAATAGAAATGCTTTGTCCGTAAACTAAAGACGTGTAAAAATGCAACTCCATTGATTAGTAAGTGATCTAGTTCTGTGATCTAGTGATCTAGTTGATCATGCACTGTAAAACTAAAAGCTTTTTAATGGATTATATATTGTGGCAAGCAGGGCGGAGTCGAGAGTCGAGGGAATGGAGCGAGGCTGGTGGCACGAGTGCTAGTGAGCGTCTCGAGTCCCACAGAGGAGCTCTGGAAATATAAGAGGAGTGACGACAAAGCAAGAGGAGAGATGATCAGGCCTGGACTTTATATATTGTGTTTTTGTTTTAGTTTAAGCAGAGCTCCTCCGTGAGACTCGCTCCGTTCCCACGGCTCTTGGCCCCACCCTGCTTGCCACATATGTTTGTCGATCGCTGCCATATGTTTTAAATATGTTTGAATGTGTTCGTAGTAGGCATTCCTAATCTGCCAGTTAACACGGTATTCATGATGAACTAACAGACAATATATTATTGTTGAGAGTTTATTTATTTATTTATTTTTATCTGCAAAATGGAAAATCTTACACAGAAGTGCAAATAGTGGGCTTCATAGGCTTAGTGTAAATACCATAAAAAAACTCTCCTTTTGATCTGCTCCCTGCAGAAGTTAATAATGACAGTTGAGTCTAAAGGCCACACACGTCTGTTCACTGGCCGTCAGATGCTGCAAACTTCAATCACACTAACTGACTGCGACAACTTCTTACCTTTTGTCGTGTTGTTGGTTTGCACAATGCTGAATGAGTTCTGTCTTCCTCCTCGGTCTCGACTGCATTTACAATAATCACAGATATGTTAAAACGACAGTTTTACAATTATATTAAAATTTCTGTCTTAAAAAAGATAGATATTTATACAGATGAATTGCTTGTCTCCTGACCTGTTTTTCTACATTTCTTACAGATGCAGAAGATCACGACTACAGCAACAATCATCAGAGATCCAGCAGATCCAGCAGAGATCAACACTATGTACAGTAACGGTAGGCCTTGATCTGTAATAGACATAATGAGCCATTAGTGTGAGTGAATCTATCCGTCTGACCTACAACAAACACTATGTTAAAAGTTAAAAGTTTATTTACATTTCTTCTTAGAAGTACCATGATTGAATTACTGCAGAAAGTACATTAAAAAAGTAAGACTAGAAATAAAAGTATAAAAACAAACACATATGCAAATACTAAAAGAAGTATAAAACAGATGGATACAAATATACAAAACATGGTCAGGAGTACAATACCAAATAATAATCATAGATATATACACATACATATATAAAAAATAATAAATGTAAATAAAAATACAAATGTATACAACATGCTCAGGAGTACAATACAAAACCAAAAAAAAAAAAAAAATAACTATCTTTTTATAAATTGAACAATCTAATTTGAAATTCTAGAACTATGTGTTGTCCTTGCTGTGATTCCTAAGGCCCTGTTTACACCTGGTATTAATATGCGTTTTGGTCCATCGAGACACAAGTAGCTAGTCGGCGCTAAATACGGGTATAAAACTTTTTGACCACTTCCAGAGGTAGACGAAAACGACCGGATTGCTTTCATAGTGTAAACGCTCACGTGGTTGAATGCGTTCGAAAAGCCACTAAAGACCACCTACTGTAGCAAGAGCTTTTTTTGTCCATTAATTCAAAGATCTGAAAATCCCATACATTTCCCATTTCATAGACCCTCCCCTCGAAGAAATCAGGACAGAAGTAGTTGAAAGTGAAAGTGGACAAAAGAGACGGATTAAAACACCAGGTGTAAACTGGAATGTCTTCCTCATCTTCCCTTTAGGGCGGCAGTGGCTCAGTGGTTCATGTAGGTTGTCTACAAACTGGAAGGTTGGTGGTTCAATCCCCGGCTCCACCTGACCAAGTGCTGAGGTGTCCATGAGCAAGACACCTAACCCCAGGTGTGTGTGTGAGAGTGAGTGAGAGTGAGACCCCAGCTGCTCCAGACGAACTGGATGGTGCCTTGCATGGCTGACACCGCCGTCAGTGTGTGAATGGGTGAATGTGAGGCCATATGTAAAGCGCTTTGGTGACCATTGGGTCTGTGAAAGTGTTATATAAATGCAGTCCATTTACCATATACCATCTACTTGTGATCTGATCGACCAAAATGCGTTTTAATAGTGGAAACGGAGCATTAGAAGCCAATCAGTTTTTTCAGCCCTCGTTGGTGGAAAAGATTGTGAAAGGAATCAACTTTCTGAGACATTCATATATTAATTTGATGGCGGTTAGCTCTCTCCGAGCTTCCAGATCATAGATGATGTATTAGTTCATCCACTAATCTGTTGTGCTCTTTTCTGCATCCTTTCCAATTGAGCCGCTTGCTTTTCTGTGCAACCAACTAATAGGACATTTGCATAGTCAGGATATTATCAGGGAACAATACATACTGACAAAATCACAAAGTGTTTCACAAACACTTTCAAGAAATAAAGACACTGATATACCTCTTTTACACATTTGACCATGCACTGTAAAATAAAATAAAAAATAGAAATAAGAACAGACTGTTTGCTACGGCTGCCAAACAAAAACCATACAATTTATGTAAAATATCCTAATTTAAATAAAGTGCAAAACAACTTTTATGGAAATTTTAAACTTTTTGCAGACAAACACAGCTGCTGCCAGATATTTGACCATTAAAAAAACCCAGCTTAATCAGAAATACCTGTAAAATAACAGTGTTTTTTGGTTTATTTAAATTAGGATGTTTTACTTTAATTTTACAGGGTTTTTTGGGGGGCTGATAGTTATTTGACCGTTTTATCATTTAATCAAAAAAAAATAAGTTACTGTTAAATACATTTATATGTAATTTAAGAAAACTTACATTTAACAAAATACAGAACTTTTTCTGTATAAAAAATGTGATTTACTGTAATTTGTCATTAATGTCATAATACTTAAAATAACACCTGAGCTAATTTACAGATATTTAGAGTTTTTTCAGAGTCAGAGTTTTGAGTACAATTTAAAAATTTTTTTTTTTTTTTTTAACAGTGTTTCCATTTAGTTGGCTGACTAGGTCAAATTCTAGGTTTTTTGACCATAATACCACAGTAACCTCCCAATATGTGTGGTGGTGGTTGTGTTGGAAACTTTACAAAGCGTATCATCATTTCTACTGACTTTGTCTCTAAAGACTAAAGACAAAGCATGTGCCTCCAGCATGTGAATCCATTTCCATTTTATTCTGTCTCTTTCTAGGTCTTTTAACTTCCAGTGCATCACTAAAAAATACTTCACGGGTTGACATATGGAGTCTTTTACCAATGCAAGAAGTTAAGGAAATAGGTCTCTAGTCAGATTTTTCATTCGGAACGGCAAACTTTGCAACTGGGCATTCAGTATTACACCGTTTCTACCCCAGATGCGGCAATTGTCGCGCCGTTCCGTGTGTCTGATCTTAGAAGGGCTTGTTTTATCTGTCCTATACTACAAAGTTCATGCATTTTGGTTGATTTGGCCAAAGATCAAATTGCACGCATGCATCAAATCATCAGCAATGTAACTTGATAGATCAGCTTATGTAAATATCAACACCAACATACCTGCACGCGTGTGACAGAGTGTGTTGATGTCCAGATGTGTGGTCTGGTTGCTGATGGGATTGTTCAGCACACAGCTGTAGGGGTTTTTATCCTGATATTCCACCTCCAGAGGTAGAGAGAGACTGATGCTGAGATCACACACACTGATGCTGGACAATACACTCATTCCTGCGTACCAGGAGAGAGTCGCATCACACACACTCAACACTGATGAACACACCAATGAACATGATGATGATGAGGATGAACTATCTCTGGTAATGTTAGGAGTGGGCAGAGGAGCTGTAAAACAAGAGAATAAACAGAAATATGGATAAATTTAAACATCAAGCTTATTTTAATTGTAGTGTGTTGACGGTCAGTGAGTGTTTCTCAAAAAATAATGAAACATTTCGGTATATCTCAATCTGATGCATTTTTGACATGATGCTAATTGCCACAAAAATTAATTTCCATTTGTCCACCAGAAAAGCACAAATCTGTTACAGTGAAGCGCTGAATGGTGTGGAAGCTTGTTTCTGCCATGGAAAAAAAAAATGTAAAAGATAAATCTGAATTTTTATCTCGCAGGTCTGACTTTTTCTTCGCAATTCTGACTTTTTGTGAGTTAAAAAGCCAAATTCTGAGGAATATTGTTTCCCCACAGAATTATGATTCTGATATAAAAAAAAGTCAGAATTCTGAGATAAAAGGTGAAAATTACCTTATTTTTTCTTCTTTTTTTTAAACAAGTTTCCATAGAATGGGGCCAATCTGTAAATGTTACGTTTAGCCTCAAGATGTGACCAATAAGCATGTTAACATGATTTTTGTGTGACAAATCACCTAACCTTTTCTGTTTAAATTTAAATCCAATTTTTACAACTTGTTTGCCATGACAAGAATGGCACAAACCATAAAATGACTGTAAAAATGCTGAAGTGCTTCTGAAGTTTTCTTTTAAATCCTTCAAATATTGGCCTCATTCACGTCCATTATAAGTGCCTCGCCGTAACCTCCAAATGAGGGATGAGTCTAAATGACTTTTTATGGTAATAAACATGATGCCATAAATGCTACGGATTGAGTTTAAAACTTGTAAACGTGAAGGACGAGACAAATTATCTCTACTCACCATAGACAGAAACATTGAATGTTTTTGATCTCAGTTTCCCTCCCCTTATCTCTAGTTTATAAACTCCAGTATGTTCAGTTGTGGTGTTTGTGATGGTCAGAGATCCAGTTTGATTGTCCAGCTTCAGTCTGTCTCTGAATCTCCCATCAGGAACATCATCATATGTGGATGAGATTTGGTTCTCTTTGCTGATTTTAGCTATAAGAGACTTTTCAGCTCCATATTTCCACAGTATATCTTCGTCTTCATGTATTTCAGTAACATCAGTGTTTAGAGTAACAGACTCTCCCTCCATCACTGACACTGACTGTATTTCATTTGTTTCGGCAGCAAACACACCTGGAGAACATAAAGAGGAACAGATTAGACTTCTGTTGGTTTACAAGTCCGTAAACCAGTTTAGTTTAAAAAAGTCAGTTTTAGTTTGAAATTATACGGTAATTAATAATAATAATAATTCATTACATTTATATAGCGCTTTTCTAGGCACTCAAAGCGCTTCACAAGGAAGGGGGGAATCTCCTCAACCACCACCAATGTGCAGCATCCACCTGGATGATGCGACGGCAGCCATAGTGCGCCAGAACGCCCACCACACACCAGCTTACTGGTGGAGAGGAGACAGAGTGATGAAGCCAATCAGTATACATGGGGATGATTAGGAGGCCATGATGGACAGAGGCCACTGGGCAAATTTGGCCAGGATGCCGGGGTTACACCCCTACTCTTTCGAAAGACATCCTGGGATTTTTAATGACCACAGAGAGTCAGGACCTCGGTTTAACGTCTCATCCGAAGGACGGTGCTCTTTGACAGTATAGTGTCCCCGTCACTACACTGGGGCGTTAGGACCCACACAGACCACAGGGTGAGCGCCCCCTGCTGGCCACACTAACACCTCTTCCAGCAGCAACCTGGTTTTCTCAGAAGGTCTCCCATGGTCTCCCATAATTGGCAATTTCAAAATAATTTTGTCTTTGTTGTTGTTCATGAATACTGCATAATTAAAAAAATCGTTTTTAGAGATGACTATTTGTATGTGCATGTCCAGAAACAGTCATTAAAATGACTTTTAAAACCACAAAAAAACCCGCCTGACATTTGAGAAGCAGCTCACTTCCTGACCCTCTGAGCCTGAGGCGCTTTCCCTGACTTTTAACATTTTAATACTCTTCCATGACTTTTCCAGGGCTGTAATTCACAATTTTAAAAATGATTTGTCAAACAGAGACCTGACTGCAAAGCAGATCACACAATAATATCTCAATTTGATTTGATCTATCAGAGGGAAATTTAGTAGTTTGTAACTACAATAATAAAGAGTAGTTTGTTACACTGTTCTGAAATATTAAGCCATAAAGATGCTTTTATAACTTACCTGTCAGTCTCCACCAGCACAAACAGAACAAAACAAACACGTAGAACATTTTCTTAGTTGTTCAGTGAAAACTCTGAGCTAAGACAGACAGTTCACTGAAAACACTCTGTGTGAATCCTCCCACGAGAGTTTAACCCTCCTATAGTTCACACAATCTGAACACATCATATATACTATAGTTACTTCAAAATAATATTTTGGCTCATATTGACACTTTTACTGTTTTAATAATGGATTTTAAAAAATAAATAATTTAACATTGGTAAGGTTGTATGATGTTATGTATTAAATAAATAAAAGACTGTTGTATGAATCTCCTTGAATTACATGGGTAAAAAATCTTCTAAATGGTTTTATCATTCAATTAATTGATCCATATATCAATTGTTGTTTTTATGGAGAAAAAAGAAAGGAAAGTTAAAACTGTCTGCCATCTCACATTGTCAGTATTATTGAGGTGTGCCTCTAGCAGTGCAACATCTGAGTCAAACTGAAACCTGTGGTCTGATTTCTATAGAAACGTGGTTTGATCTCCAGGATGGACAAACATCTTGAATGTGGCCATTTTTTGTTGTTTTGTGTGTTGTTTTAGTTTGTAGGTGAAGGGCTTCTTCCTGTCCTGCTGTTGTGACTCTCACAGTCTGACTTCCTGTCTAGATAAAGCTGTTTTACACTAAAATAAAATACTGAATCAGTGCATCAAATGCATTTTTTAAATAAATAATAAGATAAAAGTGTTGCCGAAAAGATGCATCTTCAGCAGTTTCTTTAAAATGGCTAAAGACTCAGCAGCTCCGATGAGTTAGGCAGGGAACAGTCAAAGGTCTGTGAATGTGATTTTGTGCCTCTTTGGGATGATGGCACCACAAGACGCTGTTCACTTGATAACGCAAGCTTCCGGATGGCACTGCACGTACTGTAGGTCTGATGTTTAGGTAGAGGTGCAGATATAGTGGTTGTTTTGTAGGCAAACAGTGCAATTTTGTGAGGAGAGTGTGACATGTCCTCTCTTCGGCTCATTAAAGATCACTCTAGCTGCTGCATTCTGGATCAGTTGCAGAGGTTTGACAGTCATGCTGGAAGACCTGCCAAGAGAGCATTAAAATAGTCCAGTCTGGATAGAACACACTAAATAATGCACTGAAAATAAGATTTTTTGCTGCTTGTTCAATGTATTATTTTGTTAAGAATATATTATTTTGTCACCAATTCATTTTTAGTAGCCTATGTTCAATTCACTTAAAGGTAGAGTAGGCAATTTCAGAGAGTTTAGCAATAGCGAGTAAGCTTTGAAAGTATGAGATCCCACCCTTCCTTCACAGCATCTCTAAAGCCAAGCCTCCTTCAAAACATGTGAACAAACACGTCACAAGAGAAGGCGTTAAATGACCGCATGTATCAAAGCACATAACTTTACAATAATAATTGACATAAACAACTTGAAGAGCTCTACTCGTACAACCTGACTGCTGCAGATTCATTTCACCGTTGATACTGTTGGACATAGAAATGCATAAATCCGAGTCCAAGGACATGAACAGCGTCTCTAAATTACAGTTAGGACATGGTGTGAATGCAGCGTAAGATTGTTAAGGTTCAGGAAGAACTGTAAACGGCGACTGTTGTTTGTTTTCGGAGCTCGGTTACTGTCTGTCTACAACTCTGCATAGCCTTACAGAACGCAGAGGATATATGCACATTGTTTTAAAGGTGCAGTATGTAAGATTAACAGCTAGCGGTTGAAATAGGCAGTCCATATTCAGACCTGCTCAATCTGCAATCTCTCACCCAGTTTGTTTGCTGGCTTCCATGACGGAATATGCTGTGTTTTCCACACAGACCAAAACAAAAACAAACATTCCGACACGGAAACGGAAAATAACTGGCTGAAAAGTGTTTTTCAGAGAAACTAGTATGTGAACTCAGCTTGTTTCCTGAATATCTGCAATGGTATTTTTATGCTTTAGTAGCCTACAGTCAAAAACTTACATACAGCTCCTTTAATAATGAATTTTTAATTATTTCAGACTAAAAAAAAAGGTCCATAAGAACATATAAAAGAGACAGACAGACAAATAAAAACAAAGGATTACTATAATCCATATAAACAATTTCTTCAGTGCCTCCAAAACAGCGAACTGTAGTACTGCTCTGGTCAGGCCATATAAAAACAATTATAATTTCATTTTGCGAGTCCATAAGTCTCATCATAAATTTATAAACAGCATTTCTTATTACAGCATTTAGTGTGGTCACATCATTCTGCACACACAACTAGGCCGCTGTCGGTAGCCTAAAAGAGGCCTAGAAATAGGGTTTCGTTCCACCATGTGGGGCACTACCCAATTTTTTTATATTTAACATCAGAAATATATAGAGATTCCTTAGGAAAAAGTTATCCGCACACAAACTTGCAGTTTTTGAGAAAAATGATGCTAAAGGTGCCCATTTTGAAAAAAAGGGAAAACTTAGGGAATTTTGCACTTTCAAACCTGTTTATCGTATAAACCCAAAAATGCCGAATTACCACTTTAGGTACAAAATAAACCAGTTTGAAATGTGTGATATACCTGAAGTTGCTATCTAGGCACAGTAAACATGATAAGATTATCAAGAAAACTTCTACTGTAGCATTAACATCCCAATTACTTCTCATTATGTTGTTCCAATTCAAAGGTAATATTTGAGGTAATCTGAATAACAAATGGAATTCAGCCAAAATATAATATATAAAAAAAACACTTTTCAAAAGAACACATTTAATGGTGAATTGTCAATTCACATACACGA